CTGGCTGGGGAATTCTGGGAGTTGAAGTCCACACGTCTTCAAGTGGCCAAGGTTGAGAAACAGTGGTGTATAGGTTTACAGCTTATACTGCTAAAAGCCAGCAAGAATGTAATTAAAACAAAAAACAGGGCTCCAACCTGATTTAAGAAATGTTACATCATTGCATTGGTTTCAATTGGTTTATCTGGTGGTTTGAGCATATTTGCAGATGGCTCAAAGCCATATTCCCGAATCAAAGGAACTTGTTTCTTTATTTTAGATGGTTCCCAATGATGAATTCTTTCTCAATCTAGATGGTTATTTTGAACAACCCATGTTTGGATTTACACATAAGGCTAAGCTAATATCCACTTAGCTGAATTAAAAGTTATTCAGCAAGCAATTACAGCTTGTTCAATAAACCATGGCTCAGGTTTAAATTCGAACACAGTAATTCAACATTTTAGAATCAAGAGGGGCAACTTGTGGTCCATAGGACCCATCCAGCTACAGGTCATTTTTGGCAACTTCTCAGCCAATTTCTGACCACGGTTGGTAAAAATGGGCTAGGTTGTTTCCTACCAGTTCTGAGGCTGAAAACGCTCAAAAGCTTCACATAGCCGAAGAAGCAACAAAATCCAGCAACCAAACCTTCTAATCCCATGTGAGAAACTATGTCTCCCTGTTCCTGTAGCCCCATAGGTTAAGGCCAGACTCAAAAGGATGCCCACCCCTATTTTAAACAGAGGTCTGCCAAATATTTTGAATTGAACCATCTCCAATTAGAATGCCCTTCTTTGCATGTGACATGGGCTCTGCACTGGAAACAGCCATCTTGAATGCAACACGCTCTATCTGAAATAGAAAACTGAAATGCTCAATCCAGCCCATTTTGCACTCAAAACGGATTATTTCACAGCTGGTGGGACGCTTCAAATTTAACATGCTTCAATCTATACATCCCTAATTTTAAAACAAGAGTCTGTCCATGAGCAAAGGGGCCACAATCGTCAGCACGACCCTTTTTACCTGCATCCCTGCACATCCCGCACATCCAACACAGAGTACGCATGCCGTGGGCGAAGACCCATACTTTCATAGGCTGCATCATCCACCTTCATGTTGCCTCCTCCGCACGATGCTCCCATGAGAAAACTGAAGAACGACAGAATGGGAATAAAACATGGGGACAGCATGAGAGAAGAAAGAGAAAGGACCAAGATCTAGGCCAATGTTTCCCAACCGTGGCAATTTCCTGGGGTGTGGACTTCAAATCCCACAATTCCACAGCCATCTTGGCCGTTGATAAGAATTCTGGGAGTTGAAGCCAACCCACCTGGAAGTTGCCAAGACTGGTTGACTTTCTGTGCAATCAACTAATGGGGAAGGGTTTGGAGAGCTGCTAGTCTTATTTGAAAGTTAAGTATTAATCTACATTTTCCAGAAATATATTACTTTTTAAATTTCATCATGGTTTACAAGAAAGAAGAAAAAAGCTGACCAGGATCATGAAGACATGTCCTGCTTCCCTGACCCCTGAAAGTTACACAACAAATATTGTGATTGCTTCTTAGGACTAACCCACATGTGGCAAAAGGAGTTGGTAAAATCCTATGGTGGACTGCCCCGCTTCAAACTGGGGTAGGGATGCTATTCCTGAACAATCTCTTTTTCTGTGGGAGGAAAAAAAAACCCTCTTTGTGAATAAAAGAGCAAAAAAGTTCCTTTGTCTAGTATGAATCTGTGTCAGTCACTTTTCATTGAATGAGTCCAGTGGCTCAAACTGGGTGGCTAGGTTTAATACTCGGCTCAAAAGTAGTCATAAATACTTAACTGTTTAAACATAAATGAAATCCTGATTCCCATCCTCCACTTTTGGGGGTGGGGGGGCAGCTCTAGCATGCCACTCAAATACCAAATGTAGCCCTTGGCCCTGTCATAATTGAGCACTCAAGTTTTAACAGGAGCTCCTTGGATTAACAGCCCATGGAGGGCATTATTGGTCTCTGCCATTCAAGCTCTCCATGGAAGGGAGAAAAAAGGAAGAGGACCCCATTAAGTTACTCCATTCCTCACATCCACTGTCTCCAAAACCCCACTGAGCAAATCATCCCATCCCAGCCTTCCTTCGGGTTCTTCCCCGCCTTTTCAAAAGTTGCTCGGCCTCTCTCAACCTCCAGAGCAAAAGCAAGAAGCACCCTTTGTGCACCAAGAGAACTTGTGCATAAGTCAACAAAGACATCAACAGCAAGAGTTTGCTCTCTAGGACTGCAGGGCTGTAGCAAGAACCCTGGCTGTTCTTGCAAGGGACGCCTGAATCAGAACCGAAGCACAGAAATTCAAGCCAGGCTAAAACAGTATATCTATTTTTGTGCTACGGAATGGAATAACGGAGGGTCTCTTTCCAGAAGCTTCAAGCTTTTATGGTTGCTAGCTTACCAGAACATTAGCCTGCTTAACTCCTAAGCCCTGAACAACACAGGATGTGCAGATATCAGGAAAAGAAGCTTTTCAGAGACAGAGATCAGGAGGAGTTCATGCTTGTTAACGTGGTGACAGCATCAGCTAAAACTTGACACATGATACCTCACATAATGGCCACGGAACTCCCATGTTCTACTACAGCATTACAAGTCACTTAGACTGACCCAAATACAGATTTAATAGTCCATATCTTAGACACCCACACTAGCAAACATCAGAAGAACCAGGGACAACTACCTTCTTTTTCATTCTTTCCAACCCAACAGAATGTTGGAAACAAATTATGTAAAGGGGGTCAGGACTCCATCTGTCTACCTATGCAATTACTCTCCAAAAAGAATAAAAGTTTGATGGGACCAAAGCCAGCAAAAAGAAGGATGAGTTTGAAACTGGGCCAGATCTGGCTGGGGGCTGGAGAGAGAGGGGGGAACCCCCCCCCCAAATTTCCCCAGCCATCCCTAGGACAGTGGGCATAGGCTTGGAATGTCATTAACTTCTCCATTCTCAGCCCGTCTCACTTCCTGGTCATGTGACCTAAAGTAGAACCACGTTTAAGGGCTTGGAAAGAATTCTGGAAGCCACAGAAATTTCTGCAGGTTTCCCTAGCTTGCTTTCTTCTTGGGCAGCCTACACAGCCTGCCATGAATCCTGAGCACTCCCAGCACCTTTTGGTTTAGAAAAGATCTCGAAAACTGAGCCTGGCACTCCAGCACAGCAGGGCAGACAGGGATACATTGTCTCTGCAGGCAGCTGAAGGCTATATTTCCCCCAATCCCACCCTTAGCGCTGCTATTTTGTCCCCAAATTCCAACAGAACTTTTTTCTCCTTCTTTTCCAGATGCCCCCTGATTAGCCACAGGTAGCTCAGAGATGTGTACCCCCACCTGTCATTTGGTGGTGGTGGTGGGGAATCATTGTCATGATGACAGGAGGGTGGACTGGAAATACATTTTTCCTTCGAGGGAACACCCGAGGGGAAGAGCCCATTTTGCACGCCCTGGTCCTGGTGATGAACTATTGCATCCAAATGCAAGAGGGCTGGCAAAGGGGCTGGACTCCCTTGGCCTCCTCCTAATATGATCTCTCAGAACTTAGAAGGAAAGCCCTCCCTTCTGCCTCGTCTTACCCAGCCTCCTTAGAACTCAGCATTTTGGCCCAGATGAGGTCAGTGTCAATGGCCTCCTCACGAGGGTTAGTGGAGCTGACCTGCAGCATCAAGCTCTCGCAGGGAGCGCCGGTGAGCGTAGCCAGGCCTTCAATAGCACGCCCCGCTTGGAGGGCAAAGTACGAACCATGGAGTTTGGCCAGGGCCTTCTCAATAAGAGCCACCCATAGCTGTTTCCTCTGGGCCTGGGAAATGAACACAAGACACGGAGTTGGAAATACAGCTGACAACAGACTTCTGCACCTGATTTCTCATTCCTCGAGTCCTAAAGTTTGCATTCCGTCTTTCCTTGACTTCTGAGATTTCATTAGGTATCACACATTCCTTCAAACTCACTGTGGTATATACATAAGGACCAGAGATAATTCTGTACCTGTAACCACATTCTGTTTGTTGGTCTTCTGCAGAGCCTCAACATAAAGTGACCTCTGCCCAGGCTGTCTAAGCCAGCTTTCTGCAGCATGGTGTCCTTCAAATTCCACTCAACCATGCTGGTAGTTCCAACGCATTTGGGGAGCACCAAGCTGGAGAAGGCAGCTATTCCTAATTTTCAGGAGGTTTTCTCCAAGAACATCAAGCAGAAGATCTCTCAGCTCTCAGAGTCACCTTGATACAGCCCCCTTCCCCAAATCATGGCACCAACCTGGGAGAAGAGGAGATAGCCACACTCATCACAGGGCAGCATGTCGTCCACTAGCACAGTGGTCCAGGTGCCATCTTTGCATAGCCGGACCTGGTAGGCCCCCTCTGGGCACATGGTCCGTGTGATCATGACCCTTTCCACCAACTCAGGACGCTCTGCCAACACTGCCAGAGCACTCAGGAACCTAAAAGAGAGGGTACTAGTTGGGACTAAGAGGATTGGTAGCCCAAAACATCTGAAGGACATCAGGTTGCTTACCTTTTGTTATATATTAGCTTGATTTATATCCTGCCTTTCAACAGTTTCCCAAGGTTACTTACAGAATATAAATATTACTATAGGTCATTAAATAAAAGACCCAAAGCATAAGCAATGGCATGTTGCTGGGTGTGATTCTGAGGCACACACTCTGTTTATGGTGCCGTTCACCAGACCTGGCTCAAATACCAGCATCTTACAATACAACCTAGAATCCACATAGGATTTGGATGAGGGACAGGGAGTGGGAGGAGGCATGGCCCCTTGGCAGGCACATCCATAAGGAGAAGGCTCTCTCCAGTCCTCGACATTTGATTGCTTGATAGAAATCCTCTCATTTATTTGGATGTGGTAGCAAATCCTGGGAGATCCACTTTTGTTTATTTTATTAGAGGTCCACAAACATAATCAAGAGTAAAATAGTAATTCTAGGGAATGTGTGTGGTGGATGTATACTGAAAATTAAGAAGCAGGGTGCGCTAAACAGATGGCTCCACCTAGGAATTTGTTTTCAATGGTTTGGCTCATGGTTCCTTTTGCACAAAATCAACTCCTTCTTCCTAAGCTTTCCTTATTTCAGAAGGAACAACCCAATCAGTGATGTTGGGTCTCTGCTGCCCTGAAAAGTGGCACACTTTGGAGGCCCTTTGTACCTCTCCCTCTTCACCTCTGCTATCTCCACCTTCAACACCATCTTATGCATAAGCATAAGTCCCCTCTTTTGAAGCTCTTCTATCTGAGTCCTGGTCATGTGATTCATCTGAAGACCGTTAAGAGGTCTCAATGCAGTGTCCAGTGAAAAAGAATGTCCACCCTGGGAAACCTGATGTATTCTTCACAATGGCATACAGTGACATGAGAGGGCAGCCTCTGTCTATAGTCAGCTAAGTTTAAAAAAAGGGAGCTGTTTCAATAGATGGCAGCACCTGACCAACCTTGGCTGGACTGAAAAATAGCAGGGTCAGAACCAGTTAGCCATTGGATGGGAGCCCTCCAGGGAATACCAGGAGTGTGGGAATTGATAAAACATCCAGGAAGAAGGCAAGGGCAAATCTACTTTCAAAGTGTTGCCAAGAACATTACACAGATCTGTCCATGTGATCACTAGCACTTGAGTTGGACTCAAAGGAGACTGGACTTCACCAAGACAAATGTAATTACGCAAGACCCAAAAATAAGGGGCAAAATGAAGCCAATAAGTGGAGATAAAAGTGAGAGAGCAGGAAGCTTGGGAAAGACGATCTCACAGAGGAATGTGCCACAACCGCACTTCCCTGATGCAACACACATTCTCATCTCACTGCGACCTCACCCTTTCCCAACACTTGGGGAAAGAGCAAGGCTGGCACCTGCAAAAATTATCTAGAGGAGGCAAATGTCCTGGCAAAGCAAGGCCACCAACCTATAGCTCACGTGCAGCTAGCTAGCCCTTTTACAACCCCTGAAGCCCCCAAGAACATACTACTGAGTTCGGGCCCCAGCCACTGGATAAGATGGCACAATTTCCTGCTTATTTCTGGTGGGAAATTAAGAGAAGCAGGAATCTTAAGTCTCCAATGGGATGAACACATTATTAGTTCAAAAGAAACAAACAGGCCTGGTGTCCTTCAAAGCAATCACTGCATCATGGTTTCCCCTTGCAGTCCTTGGCTTCCAAAGAATTTATAATAAAAATGTGTGGCTTATTGGCTGGCAAAATATCGCTTGCTCCTTGCTTTAAAGGATGTCCTGGCCAATGTTGCGAACAGCTGACCTGCTGCAGATAGACCCACTATCATGTCTTTTATCTTTGTGTTTCCAGGAGTAAGGGTTATGTAGAACACACTCCCCACTTGGTTTGTAGTGGGCACTAATGTGGCATTTTGGCAGAAGTAATATCAATAAAGGCACCTATCTGCTCTTTGTTTCTTACCAGCAGTTTCCCAGGAGCCCCTGCAGGATATCCGAGGGTCGGGGTGTCCGGAAAACTGACCACTTGACCGAACGGTCTTTGAAGATGTTGCAGTTAATTTCGTGAGGCCTCAGCCACTGCTTCACTCGCTGCTGGACGCTGTCTCCTTCAGGAAAGCCAACTGACTTGGGACCAGGGGGAAAGCTGTCATCCACAAAGTTGACCTTGTTCTGCAGGTACAAAGTTTAAGAAGTCAAGGCAATTCTTTATGGGGATTCAGTTCTACATATATGAGCAGCCCTGCTGCAGGCTGACATATGTGAGGCCCCAACAAAATTTAATTTTGTCTTAAGGCCCATCCACTTGTTTTTTACAACCCTCCCCACTTTCTAGTGTGTGGTCCTGCAAATAACACTACAGCAGAGACACGTGTTTCGTAGGGAGGTCCTTCTGGAACCCCAGCAACAAAGCTTGATCGTGGGAAGATGCACCCCCAGCAAACTGGTGGGACATCTATTAACCCTGCAGCCACCAAAATGGTGGGGTATTCTGAGCTAGCTAAGATGCTGAATGATGAACTGGGAAGTCTTTAGTGTGAAGAGATGGAGTTGGGGATGGAGACATGATTGCCAAACTCATAGAGATATGAGTCCGGTGTACAACAATAAAACAAAATAACAATATCCCAATCACCATCACCCCAACAAGAACAAAACACACAGTTGGGCCACCCCAACATGTACTCTACTCCCCAGGATAAGCCCATCTCACATCTTGGCTGTATGATCTTAGCCAAGCTAGTCATTCCAGCCTCAAACCTCCCCCCACCTGCAAACATGGTGAAAATAATACACAACTATGTGAAAGATCTTCTATAACGATGAGAGGGGGACATATACTGTAAACTGTCTTCATGGAATTTCATCAATTATTTTTTGCAGGGGCTTTGATCTCCTCAAGATTTTACTGCACTTTTATATCAATGTTCTGATTTTCTAGAATACCATTCTGCGAGCTTTACTGAAAGACAATTGACTTTCTTATTCTCCTAGGACTTGTAATAAATGTGTTAATGCTGCTATGATTTTTTTTTAAACTGCTGCCTTTTCTTTTCGGTACTGTTTTAATATTTATCTTACTGTTTTATTTTGCATTTTTGCATGAAATGTTTTAATATATGTTTTGATTTATTGTTTTAACCTACTGTTTTAAACTCCAATTGTATGTTAATTGTAAATTGCTCTGAGAGCTGTTTTAATGGGAAATGCTGTAAATTAAATTAAAGCTGTTAGGTTAAATTAAATTAAATTAAAATTGAGCAATCTTTTAAATGAATAATAATAGCTCTGTCCCCATTTCTGGGTGCAACTCTTACAAAAGATTCAGACAAACTGGAAGAGATGCAGAGAAAGTCACCTTCAATGATCAGGGGCCTGGAAATGAGATCTTCTGAGGAGAGTCCTAAGGCAATTTGAGTACATTTAGCCTTGAGAAAAGATCATCGAGGGGCATATGATAGCATTTTTCAAATACTTGAAAGGTTGACCCACAGAAGAATCTCAAGACCTGTTCTCTCTCATCCAGTGTGCAGGACACTGGTTGAATGCTCAGAAGTTTAACAGCAGAACCCATTTCCAAGGGAGGTAAGGAGGTCCCCACTGCTGGATGTGTGCAAAGAGCAGCTGGACAGCCACCGCTGGGCATGCTTCAATATGGGTGGTGTCCAAATTTGAAATATAAATAAAGCAAGCAAGCAAGCTTCTTGCAATGAGCAGGGGTTGGAGTTTAAACAGCCTTAGATGGCTTCTAACTTGGAAATATGGCTGCCATGCAAGTGAACACCATAGAAAGGCACCTGCTACATCTTCATTTCCCTCTCCATGAAATGTCTAGGAAAAGGCTGTCTAACGCTTTCTGGAAAGGGCAGGGGGGTTGCATTTCTTTCAGGGAACCCAAAGAGTCAACTTAAAAATGCCAACGCTGTCGTTCAGCTAGCAAGGACAACGCCCCATGCAAAAGCCACCTGCTCTTCCTGAGCAGAGCTCCTTCTGAAGCTGGACAGATAATATTTTTTTCCAGAGACATTGCTTGATGTGGCTTCATTTGCCACAGGCAACTGGAGAAATAAAACAGCCCTTGATCATTAAAGCTTCTGTACGGTTAGTTATTAATAAGTCTGGGAACGGACTTTTCCCAAGGCAGCCAGACTTGCAGGCAAGCTAACTCTGAAAAGCTAAGTCTGGCAGGGAGGGGGACAGAGACGTTAAACGTGTATCAACGGGAACTTGGGGTCCATCAGAAACAAAAGAAGTGGGAGTCCTTTTCAGCCAGGCGTTAGCTCTCACACTTTTTTGTACCCTGCAGGAAGGATGGCAGTGATGTTATGATGTGAGCAACGTGAATGGGGATGAAATTTTGGGATCTTTTCTCCGGTTGGGGGAGGCTAAGGGGCTACGGTTTAAGGCAAATTATGCTTCTCAAGAAACCCTGAAAACCAGAAAAAATAGATCTTTTTTCTATATTATGTTTTAGGAGGTCTGGGGATATACCATAAATGTCTTAGGGTTCCATTTTGCCCCTTAAACCTCTCCCCACAAGCCTCAGTCCCTCCCCCAGAACAGGTCCCTACACGATGAGCCCATTCACTCTGCGAGGGGTGCAAACAGGTGCCGCACTCTCAATCTTACCTGATCTGGATCACCAGCCTCTGCATTTCCCATGATTGAATGTTATCAACAAGAGACATTGTTTGCGTTTTTCCTACCTGCATACTAAGAATTGGTTTCATATCAGGAAACCAGTTCTTAGCATGCAAGTAGGAAAAATGCAGACAATGTCTCTTGTTGTTGATAACATTCAATCATGGGAAACGCAGAAGCTGGTGATCCAGATCAGGTGAGATTGAGACAGCAACCCAGTTGGGTCAACCTCAGCTCAGTGATAAAGACCTGTCCTAAATATTGAAGGTCCACAGGTCCAGTCCCTGACTTTTCCTGTGAAAGGGACCCTTCTATGCTGGAAAGTCTGGAGAACTGGGGTCAGGACAGGGATGTGTGTGTGAGATCAATACCTATATGCGCAAGGTGCAATTGCTGACAAACAAGAGGTACCCACGTCAACTCACCTCTTGACAGAAGGAGACAATGTTCTCCCAGAGGGCTTTGGCTTCCCCCTCGTCCGTCTGCCGTCGTTTTTCCACATGCATGCTCTCACGCCGCCGAAGTGGCTTGGCACCCTTGCGCTGTGCCACATAGACTTGAGGAGTGTGGCAGGCGAGGCAATGCTTGGCCTTGAGCTCGTTGAGGAGTGTGCAAGCAGGGCATGACCACTGGCTGGATCGTTCTGGAGTGACAGGGGGCTGCAAGGGGAAAAGGCGAGCTACTTTGCGGGCAGAGGGAGCTCTGGGGCCACAAGCTATGCACGTGCCCTTGTCTGAGCCACACTCGGGGCACTTGGGAGCCAGGTCAGTCTGCACGCCATGTTCCTGGAAGCCATGCAACTTGGAGGAGCCACAGGCTTTACACTTCTGAGAAGCTGTGGGGTTCTTCAACGTGCACTTGGAACAGGACCAAGTGGTGAAGTCAGGGCTGGAGGGGCCACAGGGTGTAAAACGAACAGAGTCCCCGGTTAAATCAATAGTGTCACTGCCCTTCTGGCTGCTGCACGCCTCACAGGCTTCACTCCCTGAGGTGTTGAGAAGGGAGCAGGTGCTACACTGCCAGGGCGGCAAGCTCACTTCCATCTCTTCCTCCAGCACGCTCAGCCGCTTGGTGGCCATCATTTCCTGGAAGCGAATGGCTTTCTGCACGGGCGTTGGTGGAGAAGCAGGTTGGGAAGCTTCAGGTGCTGGTGGCTGGAGTTGGGGGGGCACCTCTCGGCGACTGCGGGGAACGGGGTTGTTTTGGAGGCCAGGGGAGAAAAGGCTAAAGGCTGGCATCTTCTGGCTCTCTTCCTCTACAACAGCAGTGCCTTGACTGGCAACTGGGTGGCACTCGGGGGTCTCAGTGGTGGGAGCTATCTGAAAGCCAGCAGGAGTGATGATTTCAGGGACAACCAGCGCCTCTGGAGGGATCTTGGGCAGGGAGAGCTTGCGGGGCCCCCCACATGCCGAGCAGGAATTAGCGACAGGGGTGTTGTGGAGGGTGCAGCGCTGGCAGGCCCAGCCGTCCGCCAGCCCCGCCTCTTCAGGGCTCTTCCCCCCCGAATCCTCACCAGGGCTCTCCATTTGGGGCATCTCCTCCTTGCAACTCCCCTTGGGTTCTACCAAGACAGTAGGCTTTGGCAGGACCCCATTGAGGATTGGCAAGGGGGAGCCTCCTGGCCCAGGTTCAGGGGTGAAGCCACACACCTCACAGGCCTCTTTGCCCACAAAATTCCGGAAGGTGCATCGGGCGCAGGCCCATTTCTGCTCCTCCACACTGAGGCGCAGGATGTGATTGAGGTCTGGCTTCTGTCGGGGGGCCTCGCAGATGGAGCATTGGCGCTGTCCCACGGGGTTCAGGAAAGTACAGCGGGTGCAGGACCATTCCCGCACAGTGGCCATAGAACCAGAAGAGTGGGTGTGGCTGAAAGAGAGGAAGAAGAGAGACCGCCATCAGAGGACACAGTAAAAAGGATCCCACGAGGGAGGACGGGGGCATCACAATCATCACTATTTTCAGCAAGGGTGGGGTACCTGTGCCCCTTGAGATAGTACTGGACTCCCAGCACCTCCAGCCAGTATAGCAACGGTTACCAATGATGGGAGTGAAAGTTAAGTGGTATCTCAGGGCCACCATTTTCCCATCCAACTTACAAGATGAGATCAGGCAAAGCTGACTTATGACCAAAGGTGACGACATTTCTGGAAACATATCCACAGAGAAAAGATCCTTCTGTTTACAAAAGCTTCTTCTACTCAGAGTAATCCCAAGCAATCCCCCTCATAGCATTTATTTAACACCATATAAATGTTTGCAGCCTTTCACACACACTTTCATGTAAACCTTGTAAAGCACACCGGTATTATTTTGAAGAAAGAATTGAATTGAGACATGGGCAGCAGGGTCTTGACTACAACCAACTAGCAAGTTTGGGAAGAGAGGAAATTTATAATAAGCCCCCTTAGCAACTCTCAACCACTATCTATCTCAGATTTCCCTAAACCTGGGTTCCTGCAAATATATTGGACTACAATCTCCAGAATACTCAGTCAGAATTGCTTGTGCTAGTTGGGAACTGCAGCACATAACAGTCGTGGTCCAATCCTTAGAAGAAGCAGCTGAGCTGGGGAAGATGGATGTAGGATATACCCTCCGAAGCAGAGCGGTTCCACCTATCTCAAGGCTCATAACACAACAGGAGGAGGAGCCAGCTTGTCTACAGGATGTGATGTTGTGGACAAGCAAGTCAACACCTTTTCTTTTGGAGAGCAACTAGCATAGCCTGTATGCCATACTGCAGATGGAATTCCGGAGAAGGGCTCCTTCAAGGATGCAGGGAAAGAACAACCTGGAACAACAACATAAAGAACACCCTCTTCTCCAGGCACGGTTGCTCAAAAACATACCAATTTCAATATGAGCCTGAAGGTCTTGCAAGGGCATCCACCTAGCAGCTTCATACCCTCCAGCCAGCAGGTCACAGCTGAGAAGGTTCACCTGATCTGCTCCTCCCATCAGCACACAAGGCTGCCAAATATATCCCATCCAGATTGCTCCTGCCTATGTTGTTCTCCTGATCTTCCAAACCTTAGAAAAGATTCCTTCAGAAACTACTGTTCAGGATACTTAAAGATCTGAAGAAAGACTGCAGCTCTTCTGAATGCAAAACGGATTTTTTCCCCACTGAGCTATGGCCCCTTCTCAACACATTCATTTGCCAGAGGGAGTTTCTTGGGGGGAAAAGTCTGCTATTTATACTCATAGGCTGCACATGATATGCCAGATCAAGGAAGGATGGAAGAACTGCAAACATATGCCTTTTCCAGGAAAGAAATCTACAGTCGGCACCTCTGGAATAAGAGGAAATAGCCCTTTGAACACTGGTGGTGGTGAGCTATGGTCCCCATATTCCACTCTGAAGCTTTTCAGAGGCATCCGCTTGGTCAGTGTGAAAACAGGAAGATAGTTATACAAACCTTTGATCCAATCACCAGAGCCCTTTCATTGTTCTTAAGCAGTTAACTGTTGCTCCAAATCTTGCTTAAATTATTCAGCATTGTATTTTTTATTCATACTTTTCTTTCTGGGTTGCTTGTGCAAGACCACAGTCCCACTAGCCCAGCACACACATAGTCCCAGTTAGAAATGGCACTCGAGACCTGTTCACTATTGTCAGTATTCAGAATTTTAGAACTTCTAAGTGTTAAATCTGGTGAGGCAACAACTCACAGTTCTGAGGCTAGAGAGGACCATTATTTGAACACATCAAAGACACCAAGCCAATCACCAGGTATAACCAAGTTGGAGAGGGAAGAGGAAGAATTTAAATTCTGGAGCGTACAGATTTTGACTTTTTTGCACTGCAAAAGGCAAATTATTTCTGCCTATATGATGACATACCTCTTTGCAATGAAAAGTCAGATCTAGCTGAGTTGTGTCTGAAGTAAGCCTATTTCTAATAAGGATCTGGAGAGTGGAACTCATGGGGAATGTGGGCAGATGAGGACTAAGGTGGTAAACGGGCTCTCGCCAGCTGTCAGCACATGTGCGAAGGTGGGAGCTGAAGTGAGAAGCAGCTTTTGGCCCACGAATTCTGCGGGAGCTGCAGCAGACTACCACATGGACCTTTGCAGACAACAGTGGTACGTGGAACACATTTTAAGAATCCCTGATTTAAATATTTAAGAGAAATTTTCTCTGGACATTTCTAAATTGTGTTTATTAAATGTACACAATCACTGAACACATTGATTTTTTTTTTAGAGGAAAATTACCTAGCAGATTAAGCAACAATAAAAGCAAAGAATGACACCTAATTTCCATTTGTGTTCCCAATGAAAGATGGCAACCTATAAAACTTCACTCCACAGTTATTGCTGCTAGCTTGGAGCAGCAGGGAGAGAAGGAAGCAAAAAATGTGCAGGAAAGAAACAAACTCCACCAACACCCCAGCTCTTTCAGAAACTAAAGGGTTGCAATTAACTGTCCAACGGCTTGCTTTAGCTGGGTAGACTGAACCCAGAGACTGCCAATAGCTGAGCACTCCTGTATTCTACAGGCACACAATAACACCGGACAAAATTAAGTGTGCTTTGCTGTAGCGGAACACAGAAAGGTAGGAGACTGCCTTCTGCACGGTCAGACCATCAATCCACCTAGCTTAGTATTGCTCACACTGCTGGCCAGCTGGTCATGACTGTCTAATGCTGCAAGCGCACCGAACAGCCAACAACTGCACACTGTTCCTAATGATGTCCGACAAATTTCAAGTTGGTAATAAACTTCAGGACCACCAACTGCCTAGACAGGGATACACAAGGTGTGCCTCTTCCCCCTCCTCCAAGATGCTGCTGAACTACAACACTCAGCATACCTCACTATTGTCCATACTGGACAGCTACATATTTCCGCCCATGCCCCAGAATGAGCAGGCAAGAGACTTAATCTGGTTTGTTTGTGGGGGAGAGGAGGCAAGAAAACCCCTTCCTGCTCCAAAAATAAAAAGGGGGGGGGGAGAACTATTGCAAGCTGACATCATCTGATGCAACCGTGCCCACTTGCTTCTTGACATCAACGTTCACCCCCAACTGTATTCTCCTCTTCCATCTTCCTGGCATTTTGTCTCCCCTCGCTGCTGTTTTCCACAGGACTTCTCCCTCCCTTCCCATCTCCAGCTGCCCAATTACTGTCAAGCCCCAAGATGCTGCTGCCCTACTTACAAGATCTTGCCGCCTGCCACACGCAACCTGCCAGACTACAGCAGAGAAGGAATGGGAAGGGAATCTCCTGGCTACCCACACTCTACCCTGCCTTTGTCCCTGAAGGCCATCTGCTTACTTTATTTTCTCCTACCTGGAGCCCAGCCAAAGTTCAGCCAGTAGGGTCAAGCAGTCCAAGAAGTCGCCGGCAGCCAGCCATTATAAAGACCACATCATGGGCCTACTGAATCAACCTCTCCTGAGATGTTTCTGCTGATGATCAGCAATTTTCCTGCTTCTCTTTATTAGTTAAACCTGCCTGGCTTCTGCTTGATGCCAGTCGTAATTGGCATGGGACAGCAGACATCAAACAAGCCACTGATGAAAGCCTAACATTCTGCACCATTAGCTGTGAAAGCACAAGGAGGAGAGGCTGTTCTCAAAACTTGCAATCCGATGGGCTCGGAATTAGGCAGGCCGACTTCAAGACACCTCTCCTCGGCCTCACAACTTCTCTGATGTTTATCCTATGTCACGGTTATCATAGATGTTTCATTATACGGTACAGCTTATTAAGTGTTCTCCAAAATATGATCACAGAGACTTAAGAGCTGTTGCGGTGTCATGATTAAGAGAGTAAGCTATGGATCATATTAATCTCTGGCTTAAATGTACAGTATCCAAGCTATACATTAACTAGATCAACCTTTTCTAACCTGACATTTTCCACAATAAATAACTGACCAGGATGTCCAACAGAATTCTTGGAGCCGTAGGTCTAACACCTCTGGAGAGTTTTATATGACAAAAAAACCCCTACACTAGATACTTCCTTTCAGCCCAAAGTCCTCTTGCCTACCTCATCTGCTGGGAGACAACGACTGGGCTAAAGTCACCCAGTGAAATCCATGACCAAAAACGAATCTCAACCTATGCTACATTGCCTCTTGATCAGTACAGTGTAATTCCATATTGGCATACTTTACCAACAGTAACTTTTGACAATTTTTACACCCCATGAAAGCTAATCCCAAAGTCAAGACCATAAATCAAAGATACACAAAATATTTTCTATAAAGATACCTGGCCTTTTCAGCAGGCCCACTTTGTGAGTCTATCTGAACCTCTGTCTTTAATTTCTGTGCATTCCTCATTGATCCTATATTGGTTTTTCATGAAATTTTAAAAATTTATTGTACACCGCCTTGAGTCATTAACATTTAGGCGGCCTTACAAATTACAGAAATAAATTCTAACCGTGTGATTGCAACACAGCCATAGGGGTAACTATGGAGCAAGTAAGGGGAAGAAAGAAAAATGCCACCATTTTCGAAGTAGCCACACTCTATTTGTTCCATGTCTTTTATTTCCCCAGTGATACAAGATTCTGCCAGTTAAGCTAACTTCCCAAAAATGAAAGTTATAAATACAAATAAGCTTTCCTGTGGTCTTAGACTAGCAATATCTTAATAAAACACAGTAAAAAAGGAGAGTACATAGGACAGTGCAGCGGCAGTCTCGCTCTGCTGACAGTAGCATCACGTAGCGAGTCCTTTCAGCTAAAAAGCAGTATGTGACAACTGCACACGTCACAGCTTTTTAATCCACCCAAGGCAATAAACACAAACATCATCTAGATAGCAAGTATTTTTGCTAATAAAAGTCACGATATCCTTAAGCAGAGAGAGGTCAATATAAAATTTGCATCCCCAAATCATGTGTTCA